GGTCTGCCTTGGATTTCTATTTAAATAATTCTATCATTTTTGAGATTGTATCCCAGTACAGCTTACCCCACTCTTTTGTTGACTATGAGGGCTACTCCACTTCTTCTACGGGATTCTTGCCCACAATAGTAGATACGATAATTGTCTGAATTGAATTTGCCAATTCCCCTCCATTTTAGTTCACTGATGCCCAGGATGTCAATGTTTATTCTTGCCATCTCTTGTTTGACCACGTCCAGCTTACCAAGGTTCATAGATCTTACATTCCAGGTTCCTATGCAGTATTTTTCTTTCCAGCATTGGACTTTCCTTTCACTTCCTGGCACGTCCACAGCTGAGCGTCCGTTCGGCTTTGGCCCAAGCACTTCATTAGCTCTGGAGCTACTTGTCCTCCGCTCTTCCTCAGTAGCTTGTTGAACACCTTCCGACCTGAGGAGCTCATATCTTTTAGCCTTTTGTTTCTGTTCATGGGGTTTTCTTGGCAAAGATATTGGAGTGGCTTGCCAGTTCCTCCTCCAGGTGGATCGCGTTTAGTCAGAACTCTCCACTTTGACCTCTCTGTCTTGGGTGTCCCTGCACAGCATAGCCCATAGGTTCTCTGAATTACTCAAGTCCCTTCGCCACGACAAGGCAGCAATCCATGAAGGTATGCATTCAAATACAAATGCCACTGAGAGCAATGCAGTATGGAAATACACTATCTGCAAAAAAAGTCCGTAAGATTTGTTGATACAATTCTTAACCTAGCAAATGATACACATATTGAAGTCTGGGAAACATTTTAAAGCAGAAATTGAAGAATACAGTTTCCAGATTTGCAGTACTTATGCATGTGGTATGGCTATCCCTATAGAATGTGACACTTATGGAGGTAGTTATAAATACTGTTGAAAGCATTTCATGTGAACAATTCTAAACAGTCTTTGTACTGGAATTCTTAAATCAGCAGGATGATTCTGGAGGATGTGCTACGGAGAATAAAGTGAAAATATGTAATTTTAAAATTTACAGTATATTTTTTCTGTTTCTATTTAACAACATCTAATGTATTCTTTAGTTTAGTAAAATACTGAACCATACATTGAAACATTGACTATATTAAGAATGCCAAATTTGGAGAAAATATTACCTGTATTCTTACTGACAACTGGTTTGTAACCGTATTTCTGGAACATATCTCTTAGTTCTCCAAGATTTGCTGCATTCCTTTTCATCAGAACCTTACTGGCCTTTATGAAGTCATAAGTACTACCTCTTTCTGAAGAACTTATACAAAGAGTTTTATCAGCATCTCCCTTTGGTTAGAAAAAAATTAAAAATCAAGGTAAATATCCTTTGCAATTAGTATGACAGGCTCATGATGTGCTTTCATTCTGGTTATCCCAGAAGAAACAAGAAAATCTACCCACCCTCCAAAATGCAGATCAGATTATAAGCATCATTTCTAGAAAAAAAATATTGAGCTTTTCAAAACAAAAACTACAAATACGATGTTTCATTTAAGTTACATAAATCAATATTAAATAACCTGGATATAAACCATGGTGGATTAAAATCAATGATTTAAAAAAAATCTGATTTTTTAAATTTGAACTGGATTTGTAAACTTTAAATCAGGTTTTTATTTAAATCAGATTTTTAAAAATTTAAATCAGATTTATTTTAATGAAATGCTTCGGGAGGAAAATCTATGGATAGTTTTCTATTTACAATATAGTTAAAAAGTTATTAAGCATGAAATAGAGCTTAGTTATGTAGTTTGAGGCTGTAAGGTAAAGGTTCCCCTTGACAATTTTTGTCCAGTCGTGTTCGACTCTAGGGGGCAGTGCTCATCCCCGTTTCCAAGCCATAGAGCCAGCGTTTTATCCGAAGACAATCTTCCGTGGTCACATGGCCAGTGCGACTTAGACACGGAATGCTGTTACCTTCCCACCGAAGTGCTCCCTATTGATCTACTTGCATTTGCATGCTTTCGAACTGCTAGGTTGGCGGGAGCTGGGACAAGCAACAGGAGCTCACTTCATCGCATGGATTCGATCTTACGACTGCTGGTCTTCTGATCCTGCAGCACAGGCTTCTGCGGTTTAGCCCGCAGCGCCACCACGTCCTGCTGTGCCACCACGTCCCGCTATATTTATGCAATAAATGTATATTTATGCAATATTTACATTTTTGGTAAACTAATTAAATTAATCCAAGTTATCCAAGCTGAGATAACATGCACTTTTCCACACTAAAAATGATATGAAATAAACAAAGTTCAGGAAGGCTTTAATCTCATCATTGTCTGCAAATCTCAGTACAAACAACAAACACATTACTTTAAATGCTAGGTTTGAAGTTTGAAGTGAAATACATCTGTACCAGGCAGATATTGTGTTGAGGAGGGAGTGGCAAGCAATAAAAATGAAAGTGAAACTTTCTAGGCAGCTTACAAAGCTTGGGAACTTTGTTCACATAGCTTGAAGTTTTGTGTTTTTTAAAAGATATTTTGTTTAACCACTTCAGTTAATAAACATTGATGTTTAATCAAACACAAGGATATGTAAACTATTAAACTAAAATAAGTTCTGATATTGGTGTTTTACTAATCTTGACAGTTTATTATTCAAAATAGGAAACCTGCATCTACTAGCAGCAAGAACGAGTCTTTACATTTAAAAATCATGATTTAAACTGAGTCTTATTGACTAGTTATTTAAATCATGATTACAAACATTACTTAAATTAACTTGATTTAAATCAAATCCACCCTGAATAAGTACAATAGCCCTCTCAAATATACCCATCTGCACTTATCTTTATATGCACTTCATTTTTGCTTCAGTTATAGCTCACAGATATTTAAGTTTTGTTCCTATGTGTCTGATGATACATATTTCATCCAAATGTTTTTGCATAGGTACTATGGTGTATAATAGGAAGTATGGCTGAAAGCTTATGAAGCTTATGACTGAGAATTAGGGGATGCCTGAGAAGGTAGATTCACACATGAGTGTGGATTGGCAGAGAGTAAGAATGGCAAATAACTGCTGGAAGTGAGCTAGAGAGTCAGGAATAGGATTAGAGTGACAAATTTAATGAAAGTTGTCACATAGGATGGGTGTGTGGAAGAAAGTGAGGACTGAGTAATCATGACAACAGTTAGCAATAGGAGCTGAATTGGGTTCTTTTTACATGCAAGTAAGAGGAACTGAAGCTGCTAATTAATGAGGTGCCCATCTCATGTTAATTTTATACCTGGTCATACACCCAAGTACTAAAGAAGGGATACACCCTACTCCCCAAGACTAAAGAACTCATAGGAATGTCTTTTTTTAAAAAAAGAGTCTCTTCGTAGACTCATTAAAAATAATCAAGACAGCTACGGTAACTAATGGACAAAAACTTAAAGAACTGAATTTTTCAGACCCTCATTTTACAGGGAAATCGCAATCTTATAATCATTGTCATAAATAAAGTGGGGATATGTAGACAAAATAGGTGACATTTAATGGTGGGTTTATGCCAGTGAGGGAGGGGACGTAAACTTCTCAAAATAGGATTTTGAGGATTCAGAATCCTCAAATCCTCTGGAAAAATATGGGATATGGTACATGTATAAGAAAAAATTAGCAACCCCCTCTCCCAATATTCTACTTTGGTTGTATGGAAACGTTCTACACTAGTGCAAGGCCACTGGTGAATACAACACAATGCAAACAAGTCATAAATTGGCTTCCTATGAATTTGAATTAAACACACTTAATACAAAGCCCGTGAAATTACAGAAAGAGAAATAAGATAAGAGTATAAAGGTAGGAGTACCTTTAATGTCCTGACTTCAGAGTGTAATTCATGTAAATATCTCATTGGAGAATCATCTTCCAATTCTTCAAAACATGTTTTAATGAAAAAAAGGTTTAGAAAGAATCCATAATCCAGTATTGTTATAATACCTTCTATAGCACATAGCTTTGTTGTACTGATAAGACTGAGGCTTCAGCTTAGTTAATAAGTAGATGGGACACTGTACAGGAGTCACAATGAGCTGTCTGAATGAAGGGCATGATGCTAATATATACTGCAATGCTATACCTTTAAAGACTAGCCAAGGCACAAACATTATACTTGTACAAATACATAATTTGTCCTAGCTAAATTCCAGCATCCAGTGAATAAATTCATAAATTGAACCCTACTGCTGGATGCATGTACAGGTAATCACCAATGAGATCTTCCTGCAAGTGAGGCTTGTAAACTTCCTTAATTGCAATTTGCTCACTGCAGATGTAACATAACATTTGCTTTGCAACTCCACTTCAAAGCTTGTTTCCAAATCTTAATTTTTTGCCAAACTTAAATGGGATTTATTTAGATGTATCAAAGGCTCTAATTGGAGAAAGTTATTTGCAGTTAACGAGAAATTGAATGTTAATCTCTAAATGAGTTAAATGCAAATAACGTTTTTAAAATCAGGGCCAACTGGCAACCATTTCAATCAGTTCCCTTTTTTTAAAGAATAATTGCTTTGTGAAGTGATATGATGGCCAAACCCCTCTCACATAACTTTTAAAAAATACTGATTTCAGACTTGTTAGGATCAAATAATGTACTGATAACTAGTATATTGCCATATCAAATTATAATCCCACATCAATTTATATTATAATTTGACTGTGAAAATAATCTGATCTATCGCTGATGTTCACTTATTCTATAGAAGTTTGAATATTTACAAAGGCCCTTTTAGGACAATTTGTGTATGGCATTCTAACCTTAAGATGTGATAAAACAGATATGGCACTGCCAGCCTGGGTGCAGAGCAATGAGCAGTGGGTGGGAGCCAATGTTTGAAATGAATAACTGTCCCCATTGGGACCCAGAAGTAGAAACCCAAGGACACCCCAACACTTTTTGCTGAAATATTCAAAGTTTCCTGTGCTCTTGACTGAATACTGGAAAGTTGATATGATGTGGCATTTAGATTATTAATCCTGGATTTGGGGTTCAAATCCTTCTTTGGCCATGAAACGTCTTGGATGACTTTGGGTCTGTCAATTCCCTCAGCTTGACACATCTCACAACATTATTTTGAGGATAATGTTGGAGAAGAGCTGTGTATGCTGCTTTGAGCTCAGCACAGGAGAAGTGAAATATAAATGTAAAAATGGCAAACAGTGAAAGGAAGGGACCTTCATGTGAGGATTTCTCCACACTCATTCACCCTAAGAAGCTAGATAGAAGATAATCCTATTGCTGAAGCATCCCAACGATATGCTGTGAGGACACAGTAGATTCTGGCTGCAAACATTCCAGCCTTAGTTACAGTTTTAGGACACATTCATAGAGACAAACATTACTTTATCGCACAGAACTAAGAGATTATATATGGCCCTCTTACCTGTGCCATCACCTTGAAAAACCTGCTTTAGCTGCTCAGCCTGTTTCTCCAAAGTGGCTGCTAAAGTCCGTAGTTTGTTGAAGAAGCTTCCTGTCACATCCATACTGAAAAAAATCCTTACAGCGTTCTAGTTGTTATTGCCATAATTTGTACAAAGATTAGAAAGCTGGTTGTCAGTGAAGTATAAAGAACACAAAGAATTGCAGTCTAGGTTTAACAAAGACAGATCTATATTGTTTCCCAGGGCCTCTCCACATAATCAGTGTTTATTCCATCCCCACATGATAGTTTTGGAAGTATGCAAATCTACACTAAATTACACATCACATGTGCAGAGCAATATAACAAATTAACATCTCCCTTCCACTCTGTGCTTCTGAGCATTCTGCATTTTCCCAGGCTAGGGCAAACAATGTTTTGTACCCAAGAAAACTGGAGTGTTCCCTCAGACAGGATTCCTATTATGATCAATGTTATAATGAATTACTATTGACATAACTCATTATAACATTGATCATAATAGGAATCCTGTCTGAGGGAACACTCCAGTTTTCTTGGGTACAAAACATTGTTTGCCCTAGCCTGGGAAAATGCAGAATGCCAAGAATGCTTATAATGAATTACTATTGACATAACCCCCTTCATGGATTGCTGCCTTGTTGTGGCGAAGGGGCTTGAGTAACTCAAGGAAGCTATGGGCTATGCCGTGCAGGGCCACTCAAGATGGACAGGACATAGCAGAGAGTTCTGACTAAATGCAATCCACCTGGAGTAGGAACTGGCAACCCACTCCAGTATCTTTGCCAAGAAAACCCCATGAACAGAAACAAAAGGCTAAAAGATATGACACTGGAAGATGGGACCCTCAGGTTGGAAGGCATCCAACATGTTACTGAGGAACAGCGGAGGACAAGTACAAGTAGCTCCAGAGCTAATGAAGTGGTTGGGCCAAAGCCGAAAGGACGCTCAGCTGTGGTCGTGCCTGGAAGTCAAAGGAAAGTCCGATGCTGCAAAGAAAAATACTGCATAGGAACCTGGAATGTAAGATCTATGAACCTTGGGAAGCTGGATGTGGTCAAACAGGAGATGGCAAGAATAAACATTGACATCCTGGGCATCAGTGAACTAAAATGGAGGGGAATGGGCGAATTCAATTCAGATAATTATCATATCTATTATTGTGGACAAGAATCCTGCAGAAGGAATGGAGTAGCCCTCATAGTCAATAAAAGAGTGGGAAAAGCTGTAATGGGATATAATCTCAAAAATGATAGAATGATGTCAATACGAATCCAAGGCAGACCTTTCAACATCACAGTAATCCAAGTTTATGCACCAACCACCAATGCTGAGGAGACTGAAATTGACCAATTTTATGAAGACTTACAACACTTTCTAGAACTGACACCAAAGAAAGATGTTCTTTTCATCCTAGGGGATTGGAATGCTAAGGTAGGGAGTCAAGAGATAAAAGGAACAACAGGGAGGTTTGGCCTTGGAGCTCAAAATGAAGTAGGGCAAAGGCTAATAGAGTTTTGTGAAGAGAACAAGCTGGTCATCACAAACACTCTTTTCCAACAACACAAGAGGCGACTCTA